GATGTGATATCACTGCCACTATCATTTTCAGCAAGTTTTGTAATTTTTTCCATTTTTCTTTTTGGGATTGGCCTGACTTGTATCCAATTTCATCAGCTTCTGGGGTACACCATGGTTGTTTTTCTTTGGTTCCATGTGAAGTAGCCGTAATTATTTTTCATTCTTTTTTGTTGGAACGCAACTAAGGGTCACAAATTGTTAATGACATGATAAGCAAAGAATAGCTCTCTCCCAGGGGTTTTGCTGTGATAATTTTGCCCAAAACAATTGGCTATGTTTGAGAGGAAAACTTCGTTGAGGATGACATCATGACAACTGATAATAATAATTCTATTACTTCGATGGGGGCAGAGAATTTTAAATTATCAAAAAATTAAAAAGAAAACATCAGGAGGAGACTACATCATGTCATTGAAACTGGTTTCAAATACATTTTTCTCAATGTTTATGGGCCATGGGCAAATAATTCGTATTTGGTTTGGAAACATCGGAGATAAGCCAAAAGGATATGAGGGACACAAAAATATATTAGCAGTTGCTTTTTTAAATTTTTGGAGTTTGCCTTTCCTTTAATGAAGTTGATGAGAACTATCTTCGCAACCGGATGTGATTTTGATGTGTTTGAGTTTTTTCTTGTTTTGTTCTTTGGCAAACAGGATGTTTGCCTTTTATATCGTCTCTCTATCCGTACATCTTTTTGATAGTTCCTTTAGATTTCTGTTTTCAATTACTTTGGCAATATCGTTGTGTTTGTTGTAGCACTTCTTTGCTGTTGTATTCCCAAATCAATCATGCAGAAAACTTAAAGAAAAATACAAAACAAAAAAAAATCGAACGAACCTAAAGAAACAGGATATAAAACATGGATATGTAAACCAGAAAAAACAACAACAAGAAAAACAAATGCAGAGGGATAAGGAAACAAGTGAATGACATGCTGCTCTCTCTTGCTTAAGCCAATAAGGGATAGTATTATTCACATTGTTTTGTCGTCTTCTTCCCCGGTGCCTCCTTTAGTTTATTTTTTCGATAAGTAGAAAGAGGCAAATGAGAAATTTATAATTTCCGCTTGGCAACAGGTGGTTGCAAAAAAAAAAAAAAAAAAAAAAAAAGAAGTCAGTTACCATTACCATTGTATGAGAAAAGAAGAATGGAATATAATATATTTTTTATATACATAAATTGGTGATTTAATACAATTTGCCAAACGAAGTATAGAATATTTTAAGTGGAATCATATTTTGAAAAAAGATCAAATAAATTATGTATTTTTAATCACAAAGGAAAAAAATTAATTCACCTAGCTAAATTTAAGTAAAGGCTTAAAATACTTGTCTATTTTATTTGTTTTATTTGAAGATGTTCTAATTCAGTTAAATTAATTGCACCGACAATTTTTTATAAAATCTCTAAATTTATTATAAATAAAATATGTATTTTTTAATGAAAAATTTCTCATTTGTTTTGCTTGAAAATCACTCAATTCAGCCACTTGAATTAATCACAAAGTTAAAATTGCTTAAATTATAATTTTTTTCGTATAAATTGTTTAAGGTGTTAGTAATTTGGCAGTGATCCTAATATCAAATTTCAGAATTTTAGCTCTTTAATTTCCCCCATAATCAAATTTGGTGCCAGTTAGTACTTTTATAGAATTAAATATTTCTTTATACTTTTATAAAATTAAATATTTAGGTCAATACCTTCACTCAATACCACATTTAGTACCATTTAGTAATTTTTGTACAGTTATAGTACCAAAGCCATCTCCATATCTCAATTCCAGTTACCAACAGAGACCCCAAAGTAAAATTTGAGGATTCCAGCCATATCCTGTCACACAATACCAAATTTAGTACCGTTTGGAATATTCGTACAAATGTAGGTCGCATTTAGTCATTTGAAAGTGATCCCAATATAAAATTTCAGAATTCCAGCTCTTTAATTTCCCCCATTACCAAATTTAGTATCATTTTGTAAAATTATAGTACGCATCAGTTCCTTCTCAAAAATTTCAAGATTTCAGGTCAATTCCATCACCCAATACCAGATTTAGTACTATTTAGTATTTTTCGTACAACTGTAGCACACATTTCCAAAACTGAAACCATCTCCATATCGCAATTCCAGTTACCAACGGAGATCCCAATGTCAAATTTTAGGATTCCAGCCGTATACCTTCACCTAATACCAAATTTAGTACCGTGTAGAACATTTCGTACAACTGAAGGTCGCAGTTCCACCCAATCTCAGACACAGATATCGTCAGTAATATCAAATTTTTGAATTGTATCTCTATCCCTTCACCCAATACCAAATATAGAACCATTCAGTACTAATCGTACAATTATAGTACGTATTTCCGGATCCATAGCCATATGTCCATGCTACACATGAACAGCGATCCTAATACCAAATTTCAGGTTTTAAACACTTTCTGTTCACCCAATACTAAATTGTACCAAATATAGTACTATTTTGTACTTTTCGTACCCTTGACCACCAAACTGACCACCAACAGGGACCCCAGTACAAAATATAAGCTACATCTGTTCACTATAAACCACTATAAAATGTACCATTTAGTACAGTTCGTACAAGAAGTGCTGCGCTTAACGAAAACAAATATTTAGACGTTCAAAAGAAATCTAAATAGCAATAAATTTTCACAAACAAACAATATTATTTTCAGTAAATTAATTTCTAATACCATCTTCTAATATAAATATCAATCAAGCTTATTTGCGTACCCATTTTATGTCCAATATTTCTTCCCTAATATGCCACTCATAATTTACCCCTTATTTACTACATCGTTGTGCTCAATAATGTTCTTTCGTGCCTGCTTACAATTCTTAAGTTACTCTATTCCAAGAGCTTACTGTTTTGCAGGGAGAAAGAGAGAGGAGTGCTCTCTTCACCATCTTCCTCCGAATAATAGTTGAGTGCGTGCGTTTGTCATGAGTAGGAAAACAGCTTGTTGTCTGTTCACAACATGGCTTAAATTAAACCTCTACGTAAATAATGCTTCTTGTTCTTCTTCATCGTCTTCTCATAATATGGTAACCTACATATGCACTACCATTGAACGTAGTTGTTGTTGTCATTGTCGTCGTTCTGCTATTCACGTGTGTGTCTGATGTATTCCTCTACATTTTGTCACATGCTTTATTTGTCTCTCAAGTGCCATCACGCACACACAAAAACACTTGCCACCACACACACACACTGAGTGAGTTCCTCATCGTTCACAAGAATATCTGCAGCGTGAGTGTGAGAAATTTCCATATGAAGAGCCGGAATAAGTCCTTTCCTCTTCTCCCCTGTGTGTTAAATTTGTGCTGTGCTGATCCTCGAATAGCAGTAATTCACATCCTGCGAATGTGTGTGTGTGAAAATATATGTTTGACAATTCACATGTACATGACCTACAAAGCCAACAACATCAAAACAAGAGGTGTCATCTACATTCTCTTGGCAGTCTCAAGTTGTTGTTGTATCATCACCAACAGCAGCAAGTTTTTTTCTTCTGAAAAGGAGAAGGGATAACTGCTAGGCAGAAGGTACTTTATCTGCTATTTGAAATGACAGCTACTCATCCTTTTATTGTCGTATATTTTTTTTTTTCGTTTACTGCCTTTGTTGCGACACTAACCAAAACCAACAGCAGCAACAACAGCATTGAAAACACTTCACACAGCATTCCTGCGGTCTTTGCCGAGCGAACAACCAAGCAACCAAGTCAGTCAATGGTTTTTTTTTTGGAAAAACAGTGCCCCCCTTGCCGAACTGGCTATGACAGTAGCCACGGAAATCAGGAAATGCTTAACGTAGATGTTGTTGCTGCTGCTGTTGTTTTTTTTTTTGATACGTTGCATAGATTGTAGACTCAACTGCTGCAGTATTTGACATGTTACCTTAAAGGTATTTACTTGCGGATTGTTGGACAGACGGACGGCTGGACGGACCCACATGCTGCAGCCTCTTTTGTTTTGAGTTTTTCGATTTTTTGGTGTGTTTGCTTCTCCTTTTTATTTTCTCCAAAACAATATGCTGTTGATTTTGTAAGGATTTCTGTTTCCAACCATTCTTGCATCTGTCGCTTATATCTGGGCATGGCATTGTGTACATGGGTGTGTGCGTGTGAGTTTGCATTGGTGAGAATCAAAAGCAAACGACTGCGTGAAGGGCGATATCCATAAAGTGTTTCGGGTTTTGTGAGACAATAACCAAAAATCGACTTGGCTGGCCTGGCCTGGCCGGCCTGCCATTCAATCTGTTGTGCTTTGATTTTGGAGGAGCATAAAGAACACAAACACACACATTTGGAAATCCTTGGGAATCATGGTAATTCAACCTTAACAGCAATGTGATAGGGAATTAGTTTTGAGTGCTGAACTCGGTGGGAAAAAATTTGCAATTGATGCCATTCAGTTACTCTCAAATGGAAGAAAATTGCAAAAAATGAATTTGTGGAAAAAAATTACCTTCACTACATTTCCCAACACCTCTAAATTTATTAATAATCAGAAAATATTTATTTTCGATTTGGAAGAATTTAAATTGAGTAATATTGCCAAGTCAAGAATTTGTTCATTTTGTCCAGATTTCCATTAAAACCTGGAAACTGTTGTCCAATTCAATAAAAATGCTTTAAACTTAATAATATTGGCGAATTATTTCTTCTAAAGGTGAAATTGTCAAAAAGCCTCAAATTAAATAACATTGCAAAATTTTAATTCTGGATTAACTTTTACTTTTTTTTTAGCATTTGAAATACATTTCGTTAAATATTCAGAATTGAATCAAGTTTTTCTCCTCGATTTCAAAATTATGAAATTTTAAACCATTTTAAATGAGAGGGTCTCAAAGATATCAAAATATACACAAATATAGTTTTTTTGAATTATTTTGTTTTTGAATTCAATTTATTCAATTTCTAATTCCTGTTTTAATTTTTTACTAATTGTTCCCCCTTTATTTTTTCCTTTCCTTTTTAGAAAATTGGCTGTCGCATTCTGAAGGTCTTCTCCAATGTGGCACCGCAGAGTACAGACCGTGTTGTCCAGACGGTGGGCAAACAAAATGAGGTTATTGATGCCATACGCGAGGTTATTACGCTGACACGAGAAACACCCATCAAAGGTCCCGTCCACAACTATGATCCCCTGAATTATGATCGCATGTATGCCGATGAATATGGCGGTTATGGCAATATTCCCGGCAGCAGTCGTCCCTCCAGAGATGGTGGTCGTCGTGGAGGCGGTGGTGATGATAGGGATTATGGCCGTGGTGGTGGTGGACGTCATGATGATCGTAGCCGCAGTGGTGGCCGGCGCGATAATCCATTTGTAAATCCATGGGCCGCGGATGATGGTGGTTACAATGGAGGCGGTGGAAGTGCTGGTTATGGTGCTGGCGGAGCGGCCGGTTATGGTGGCAGCAGTGCTGGCGGTTTTGGCAATAGCTTTGGTGGCGGTGGTGGAGGTTTTGGTAATGCTGCAGGTGGTCCCATGCCGGTTAATAACTATGGTGGAGGTGGCTATGGCAGCCAGGGTGGTTTTGGTGCAGGCAATGCTGCTGCTGGTTATGGTGGTGGCGGCTTTGGTGCTCCCGCAAATCAAGGATATGGCGGCGGTGGTGGCGGCATGAATCAGGCAGGTTTTGCTGGCGGTCCAGCCATGGGTAATGGCATGGGAGGTGGACCTGCCCCCGTGTTTGGCGCCAATGGTAATGTACCCAATAACATTACCGGTACTCTACCCGAGGGACATGATCCAAAGAATAGTACACAGGTTTCCATACCAAAAGAGGTTAGTTTTGGAAATCAGAAGCAATTGAAGAATTTGTTTAAATACTCTTTTTTTTTCTTTCACAGATGGCCGGTGCTATTATCGGTAAGGGTGGCAGTCGTATACGTCGCATACGTAACGAATCGGGTGCTTATATAACAATTGATGAACCCCTACCTGGTTCTACAGATCGTATTATTACCATTTCTGGTAATCCCAAACAAATACAAATGGCCCAACATTTGTTACAGCAAAGGTTAGTATGCAAATACAAGTAACAATTTTCATCTCATTGAAAAACAAATTCATGACATATTTACATAAAATCCATTAAAACCCCCCATTTATGGTTCAAGGTTCATTATTTAAGTGTTAGTTTTTAAGTGGTGAATTGTAATTTATATATATTATATAAATATTTTTTATTTTGGTTTGGTGAAGGTGTTATCCAACGGTGCAACTCATTTCATAAGTGTGTGTGTGGTGTTCATTAAAAAAAAAAATAAATAAAACAAAATCCCAGTTAACAAATCAAAACGCTTCTTCTACCCCCCCTCCATCATTCACGATACTCATTGTTTGGAAGACTAGTGATTTTGTTGTTTTGCTTTAGATTTAAACAATAAATCCCTTGTCTTCTTACAATTTGTATTAATATCTACACATTATAAATTAATTAACCACTCTTCAAAATAACCGTCATCAAGGACTAAAAAGAAAAAAATGAAGCGAAAACTTTACTAATATTCTCATTACATATTAAAAATATAAATAAAAAAAAATTAAAACATTCAATAAAATCTTATAAGAAACATATGTTAAGAAAAAAGAAAGTAATAAAGATTATTCCACTATACAAAAATTATATATTATTGTTATATTGTAAAATAGCTTGAAGGGAAAAAGAACGGCTTTAGTTTCTAGCATAATCCTCATTCCAATAGGTTTTGCCTTTGTTTAGGTAAATATTCTGCTAAAGATACAATAAAAAATAAATAAATACAATATGATGTCTACTCGGAATGTTCATATACACCTAATTCAATCGCGGAGGGTAATCACCAAATTCTATTTTTCTAAAATAATAGGAAACCCTAATTAAAAGTAAAATCAATAACAAATTATAGAGCCAACAATACATTATGGACTATAAAATTATAGCCTAGCAAATAATACACGTGTATCGGCGCATTGAACCCAAATAAAGTAACTCAAGTCGCCTCTATTCCACACTTTTTTATTCTTCAGATTAAGATTCTTTGAAAACCAAACGTTTCAGCCATAAATTGTCTTTGGCAATATTTTTTGTTACACGAGGACTATTTCGGTCCGAAATTTTAAGTTTAAAACGACTCACCAAGGTTTTTAAAGTTCTTTTTTTCTTTCAAAAATTGTTAAAGACTTCATTTGAACGGGATCGGAAAAAGTCAAAATATTCCCCCAAATTTCTTGTCATAAAGTTCTATAGGTCACAGAACGCATCAAAACTCTAACTCTAAAATTTTTTTCCTCGACAAAATTTAGCACTTTTTCGAATTCGTTAAAAATTATCTTAAAACTTCACTCTGCAACAGCCGCCAACCTGTGATGTGAAAATGTTTAAATGGCATTCGGCTAGCGGATCAAAAACAAAAAAAAAAAAAAACAAAAAAAAAAAAAAAAAGGATTATAGAGCCACCTTTTTATGGCTTGATATAACTTTTATCACAAACAAAGGAACCCAATATTTTGGGCTCTACTGCTATAGAAGAAGAACCCCAACAATAACGTTTTGCATAGAATTTTAACAATGGAGGCAGATGTTGGCAGCTCATTAAACTTATTTCAAGGAACACCAGTGATAAAAACTGCCCAAAGAAAAATATTTCTTCTTGTAGAAACTAGAAAACCTTTATGTCTTGATACTTACATGCACGATAACTCTCGAGGGGATCATCCGATTTGATTCATACTTTGTACCTCGTAATATTATTGTCAAACTTAAATCAAGTTCGGAGATGGACAATATCGATCCACTCCTTCTGGTACCTCCCACACAAAATGTCAACATTTTCAAAGAAAATAATTTAATGTACAGAAAGAGAAAAGGATAATCCAGCTTTGCGAATCCTAATATTTGCATCAGTGCTAGGTCAGGTGCGAAAATGGACAATATCGGTCTAATCCATCTCGATCATTTTGAATAATTTTAAATCTTATTAAATGTGACGTAACTGTCCGATTGTCTTCAAATTACACTCATCACAATATTTTCAATAACCCAAGGTCTGGTGCGAAGATGGGATATATCGGTTCACTCCTTCTGGTACCTCCCCCACAAAAAGTCAAAATGTTTAATATTCATGAAGCTCATAAAACACGAATTTAACATCCGATTCCATTCAAACATGGCACATCTCAATATTTCCATAAACACAAGATCCGTTATAAAGATGGAAGAGATCAGACTATTCCCCCCACAAAGGGTCAACGTTTTGAATGACCAAAACGATCATAAAATCCGAAATAAGCTTCTGGTTATCTTCATATTTCACACATCTCAATATTTCTACTAACACAAGATCTGTGGCGAGGATGGAATATATCGATCCACTCCTTCTAGTACCTCTCCCATAAAGGCTACCATTTTTAATACATAAATCTCTTATAAAGTGCGAAACTTGGCATATGTAAGTATTTTTCTCAACCAGAGAGAATATGCTATTTAACGAGTACTCTGGTACCTTCCCCACAAAAGGTTATGATTTGGTTTAAAAAGTATTCCCACGAAACAGGAAGTAATTGCTTTTTTTAAATTTAGCACACCTCAACATTTAGATCAGAATGTGATGAAGTGGAATGCTTCTGTCCATCTATATCTGATACCTCACCCACATTTTAATATTTTCTAAAACTAATCGCATATTTCATATAAAGTGAAGGAAGTAACCAATGCAGTCCAAACCTGACACGTCGCAATATTTATATCATATTTATAAGTTTCGATACGAAATGGACAATACTGACCCATTCCTGCGGAACCTACTCCATAGAGGAATTTGAATAATCATAGCAGAAGTCAAAATATATTTAAATAATCGAACATTTGCTGAGGGTATACATCTGGCGGCAAGACCAACTGACACTCTTTAGCTTTTAATTACATATTTTATTTTATCTCGTCTCAGTTGAAGTGGTGTATAACAAACTATTATTTAGTTTCCTATATTTTTATATATTTCTAGCTTTTATACCCTACAACACTATGTGTTGGGGGTATTATAAGTTTGATTGGCCCAAAAATTATGTAACACCTCGAAATATTGATTTCCCATATAGGAAAGTATATATGGATCTTCCTAGCTCGCCGAGCTGAGTCGATCTAGCTATGTATGTCCGTCCGTCCGTCTATCCGTCTGTCCGTCTGTCCATGTTAATTTGTAATCACGCTACAGGTCGCAATTATGCCCCGATCTTCACGAAATTTAAAATGTAGGTGGGGTTAAGGTCAGAATAGAACCCTATTTCTTTTGGAGATGATCGCCAAATGTTTAGGGGTTGAAATGGACCAAATACTGAAAAAATTTCGGATTTTGCAGTAGCTATACAGGTCGCAATTATAGACCAATCTACGCGGAATTTCGCATGTAGCTAGAGTTTAGGCCGGGGAAGAAGCCTACCAATTTGGGTGGTCATCGGATAATATTTAGCGGCTAAAATATACCATTTCTTTTTTGTTGAAAAAATTCAAAATTTTTCATTAAACCGCGAATATTTTAAATCCCGGCGAAATCACAAAGCCATGAAAAGGTTACTTCTGATCTTTACATTGATGTTGAGATCCAACAAATGGAATATATAGCAAAATATGTGCGATATATATGTCTATCAAAGAAGATAAGCTTGAAAGATCTATTTTATGTCAAGAACGGCTGAACTGATTTCGACAGTTCTCATTAATTCAGAATGGCCTCTTGGCAGGAAAGAAAAAACGTCTAAAAAAATCGCATAAAAATATCTCTCTAAAGATGAAAATATTGATTTTGTAAAATTTGCTCATATTTTTTCAATTTTGTCATATTTTTGGCATATTTTCATTTTGAATTAAACATTTGGTAATATTTCTACAGCTAACAAAACTAAGTAGTTAGGATATCAGGTTATCATATACAGATCGCATTTATGGCCCGATCTTTACGAAATTTTGCATGGGGATAAGATGAGGGTCAGAATAGAAGCCTACTATTTTTGGAGATGATCGCCATATATTTAGGGGTTGAAATGGACAAAAAAAACTGCAAAATTGTCAGCAGGTCGTAATTATTGCCCGATCCTTAGACACAGTTGAATGGGGGTTACCGGACATTGCAAAAGCCAAGCAGTTTTGGATGGCCATCCAAAAATATTCAATGTGTAAAGGAGTTTGCCAACTTTTGTAGACAAAATACGAAAATGTCCATTCCAGTGACTTTTTGGAGAATTCACAAATACAGGAAAGACGCACTTCTCACTATTTCGTTAACGCTGATTTCGTTGAAGAATATAGTCAAATGGCGGTATCTCATATAGATGCGTTTCAGTCAAAAACCAATAATAAATGTCAATCTTTTGCCACGTCCGAGAGATTATAGGTCTTTAAGTTGCTATTATTAGTTTAAGTTGCTATTATTCGAAAATTAGAGAACGAAACCTGATGGTTTTCTTTTATTATTTGTCACAATATCTTGTGGAATTCTTTCGAGTATCTCGCCTATATAAACTGTATCACTTATTATAGTGTTGTAGGGTATTCAACGGTCGGCCCCGCTCGACTGTAGCCTTTGCTTACTTGTTTCCTTTAATTTGTCTCGAATATAAAATTCAAATACTAATTGCATTATTTTCCCCCTCTTTTATCTTTGCAGTGTCCATGAAAATCAACGTAAAAACTTCTAAGCAACACTTTTGAAATTCCTTAATATAAACAAATAAGCAAAACAAACAACAAAACAAGAAAAAATAATTATATTTTTAAAAATTATATATATATTAAGTAAGAGCTCCACCAAAATATTCTATAAATGTCCCCCTCCCTTCCTAACTACCCCTTTAACCTTCACGAAAGAAACTCTTAATTGGAAGAAATTCAGAAAGAAGAAACAAATACGAAATTCTCCCTCCAGCACTTCAACAAGTTCCAGCATCCATCATCTTCTAGCCAGCCACACATCGCCACATTACAAAGTTACATGGAGGTATTCGATTGAACCAAACCTACAAACTACGCTAATTGTAAGGATCACAACTAAAGGAATTTATTGAAAAGGAATCGATAATTAACAACTACTTATACACATAATTATATAAAAAGTTCAAAGAGCCAAAATAAATTCTGCATAAATCAAAAGCAGATTAGCCAAAAACAACAAACAATTTGAGAGCATCTGTTTCTTCCTTTCAAAAAAAAAAAAAAAAAAAAAAACAAAATTAAACAAACCATTTAAAAGTTTGATACTTTATTTACTTCTTTCTAAGTTTAAGTTTAAATATACACATATATTTTAATCATTAAAAAATCACAAAACAAACACAAAATAATTTCCGCTTTCTTGTGTGTAACTTGTCACCCTTTTCCCTCAATTTTTCTTCCTTGTCCCCATTCACATTCATAGGTTTTTAAGAAGACCCAAATTTTTAAACTGTCTGTACAAATAAAGGCAGACACTGTTGGTGCCACCCATTAATAATAATCAATAATATTTTCTTGACAAAAACCCCCATACCCCCTAACCTCTCCTTAAATTAGTTTGTATTATTATTTTTTTAATTAAAAAAATAAGAATTATACACCGAAGAAGAAGAAGAAGAAAAGTTAAGAAACAAACACCAACAATTATTATTATTATTAATTCAATAATGAAGAAGAAAAACAAAACAAAGGAATAAAGTTCAAGTAACTTAAAACAACAAGAACCCACCATCGTAAGAATTGTTTCAGTAAATACAAAATAATAATTAAAAACAAAACAAAAAAAAAAAAACAGACGTCATTTCTCTTTTTTTTTTCTCTATTCTATCTTTCCAACTTTATCTCTATTTCGTTTTGTTACCTCCTCGTTTGTCATCATCATTTATGTTTCATTTGTAGAAACATTTTTTACTGTTCTCCGCTCTTCGCCCTTTTCCCTCTATTACATATTTTGTAATATGTTGTTTTTTTTCTACCATTATGCTGCCTCCCTTTTTGTCCCCAAAGCAGCCAATAACCCCCCTCAGCTACATTTACATTATTTTTACATGTAATTCATATACGCGTATAATATTATTCTTTATATAATTTGATTATATATTATATTCTAAATAATATTATCATAATTATAATTTATATACATACGTAAATGATAGAAGGCGTCTTATTCTTAAAATCAAACCAAAATTTGTAATATTAAAAAAGGGATAAATAATGATAAAATAAAAAAAAATAATTAAAAATAAAAAAAATTGGTTTTATTTAAGTTATCTCAAAGGCTTCCACTATTATATTCCTTGTGGAAAAAAATATTATTCAGAAAAAGGATTAAAGAAAAATTTCCTAAAAATCCATAATTATAGCTCTGATAGATCATCTTCTAAACTTTTTTCTGGTTCTGTTAGAAGCTATGCTTATGGCTTGTTCAGCCATGAGCTAAATCTCCCTAAATATTCTTAAAAATTGTTTGATTAAAGGTTATTGAGTATAAGTCCCAATTTAAAATTTTAAGGAGAAAATTATGTACTGGTCAGAATTTCAGGGATGGAGACGACTGATCGCTTAGCTCACTATCAATGTTCGCCACTAATGCCTGAACAAGGGGATTTAACGATTTCTTGTTAGTTTTCAATTACAAACCATTGGCTCCTGTAGCTTTTGTTCGCCTAGGTTAGGTTAAAGGATGCGGGGTTGTATAAACAACCACTCCACTCGGAGACCTATTGGTCCATTCTGTTCATCCTAAGTTAAGAAGATAGGAGAATAGTATAGAGATAAGAGATGGAAACGAATAGCGGATCGTGAAGAAGTGAGAATCTGAATAAAGAGTAGAGAAGTTAATAAATTTGCATCCAGGGTGTACCAGCGTGACGTCCTTAGCCATCTTAGTCTTCTGGCTAACTGAAGAATGACTGCTGGCACGATGTCGGAGAGGCAGGACAAATCTGGCAGAATTTGCTTACCCAGTAGCCTCTGCCTCACTCGTATAAGAGTTGGGCAGTGGCAGAGTACGTGCTCCATCGTCTCAGTTTCTTCCTCGTCCTTACAAAGCCTGCAGTATTCCACAACTGCCATAGATTTGATTGCAAATGAATGTAGAGCCTTCAGGGCCGCTTAACTATCGACACCGGACCGCCAAGTTTATTGATTCTATTTGCCAGCAGCTCTATTGCCTTCCTGACAGCAAAGATTTCTGCTTATGCTACAGTCGTTGCTTAGTTTGAACTATCGTTGGATACTTAGATTTTCACAGTAGACCCCAGCTCTCGTTCAGCTTTCCATCTTTGATCCGTCATTATAGACTGCTATACCGTTAAAAGGTGGAGTGTCGCGGCTCTAGATGTCTTTTTTAGGTATATGAATATCAAGTAGTTCAAAGCTGTGCCTAGGTGATAGATAATCGCTAGGTATAGCCTGATTTAATATTGACTCCGTCATTGTCCCAGTTCATTGGGTCGCAGGACACACCTAGCAGCTTCTTCCTCTACAAATAAACCTAAAGGTTTCAAATTGAGTAGGGTGTCCAGTGCGGATTGGGGTGTGTTCCTAAACGCGCCTGTAATTAGTAGCGATGCAACTCTTTGGACTTTATCAATGCTTTTACTGAATGTGGGTTTCCCTAAGGAGTGCCACCAAACAAGCCCCCCATAGGTTAGAATTGGTCGGACAACTGACTCATATAACCATTTGATTATGTAAGGCTTGAATCATCAGCTTTTTCCTATGCAGTTTTTGCAGGAATAAAGGCAATTAAGTCCTTCTTCGCTCGCTCCTGGATGTTCCTCTTCCAGCTTAGTTTCTGATCTAGGAGATATTTTGCTTCCGAAGAAAGCTTTAACATAACACCATCAAGTATTGTTAGCGAAAAGACTGGGATTTTCCGCTACCTTGTGAAGAGTACGAGCTCAGTTTTTGATGGGTTCAAGCCAAGTCCATTGCGGCGTGCCCATCTGGAGAGTTTAACTAGAGCTCCCTCCATAAGATCTGAAACAGTTTGCGGGAATTTTCTAGCAATCAGCAACGACGATTAGAATTTCATTTATTACCAAAAGCCAGGGTAGAGGTGACAGAATCCCTCCTTGCTCGCCTAGCAACCATTGATATTTGCTGATCTATACTTTCGAGTCAGTTGCAAACGTTTTACTGTGTTCGTCCTATTTACACTATGCAAAAATTTTCCGGTTGCAATCTGGAGTGTGGAGGGAAATCGCAAGTAGATATGATAATATTCAAAAGTAGAAACGGGGTTGAGTTCTCAGAGTTTGGGGCGTCAAAATTTCTGGGAGAAAGTTGTATTATTAGTTCAGAGAGCGAAACTCCGAAGGGGGTTTGTGTTCCCTGAACAAAATTTTTATTTTACGGTCTTTTATAAAAATAATGGTTAAGGATATATAAAATTTACTGGCTGAGAATCAATATCCAGACGAAACGGAGTCTTGAAATTTTGCACGAGTGTCAGTCCTGGTGTGTAGGCATTTGAAAAGGCTGTGTTTGTGGTAATTTGTACTAAAAATTCTGAAATTTGGAATTTGGCCACGTGAGAGTAGACGTACCAAAGATTTTTTGGAAATTCAAACATTAAGGCTATGTAAATTTCTAAAACCATTTGGAGTTATGTGAAAGGATAGAGCTAAAATCTGAAATTTGGTTTGAGAATCAAGGTTGGAAAGTAAGATGTATATATGAAGGTGGAAAATGTGTAATAAGTGTGTGAATGGTACCAAAGTTGGACAGGGTGAACGGATGAAGCAGGAATTTTGAAAATTTTGTTATTCGTGTCTCTAGTTGGTTTGTGATAAAAAGGGGTGGTTTTGGAAAGTTGGTACAAGTTGGTATTGACAGTTCATGTGTAGCCTGGGCAAATGTATACTATAATTGTAGGAAAATTACTAAATCGTACTAAATTTGGCATTGGTTGAAAAAATACGGCTGGAATCCAGAAAATTTAAAGCCGGAATGTTGTAAGAAAAATCTGGGTTTGGAAATGCTTATAATTGTTCGAAAACACTAAGTGGTGCTAAATTGAGTATTGGGGAATGTATAGAGCTGGAATCCCGAAATTTGATATTGAGGTATCTGTTGGTATCTGGTGTTGAGATATGAAGCTGGTTTTTGTACTATAATTGTAGGAAAAATACTATATTTGGTATTGGGTGAAGGAATAGAGTTGAAATCCTGAATCCAGGCCACTGTTGATATCTGAGGTGAGATATGGAGATTGAGATTATAATTATTCTAAAGTACTAAGAGTACCAAAATTCGGTACAATTTGGCATTGGGTGAACAGATAATGCTTGAAATCTAACATTTGCTATAAGGGTCGCTGTTCATATGTAGCTTTGACATAAGTAGGCGTGTAATTGTACAAATAGTACTAAATGGTACAATTTGGTATTAGGTGAGGAATAGAGCTAAAATCCTTACATTTGATATACTATAATTGTTCAAAAATACTAAGTGGTACTAAATTTGGTATTGGGTGAAGGGATAGAGGTACAATTCTAAATTTTGATTTGAATGTCACCCTTGGAGATATGGAGGTGGTTTTCGAAAAGTACATAATTGAAATAAATGCTTCTATATTTAGTATTAAGTGAAGGGATAGAGCTGAACCGTGAAATTGTATATTGCGATAGCTGTTTGTGTATAGGATTAAGATATGAAAAGGTTTTGCAAATGAGAACTAAAATTATACGAAAAGTACAAAATTTAATATTAAGTGGTGGTATACGGTTGAAATCCCGAAATGAATTGAGGTCTCTCTTGGTATCTCGTGTTGAGATGAAATCCCGAAATTTGATATTGAGGTCTAAGTGGTACTAAATTTGGTATTGGGAGAAGGGATAGAGCTGAACCGTGAAATTTTATGTGAAGTCACTGTTGGTGTCTGTAGTTGAGGGAAATGAAAATCGTATTATTAACGTACCAAAAGTGCAAAATGTAAAAAAGAAAAACAAGTAAATATGTAGTAAGTTCGGCCGGCCCGAACTTTGAATACCCTCCACCATTTGGAACGATTTTGGAATTTTTCAAAAAATTAAGATCCGTAAAAATTCTGTTAAAATTTTAAAAATTCTAAATATGGGGAGTTACCTTTATATTGGGGTCTATACGAAGACGTGAACCTGCATAGGCAATTTTTGTCATAGGCCATTGCAATATTCAAATACGAAATTTTAAATAATTCCGGTGAATAAAGACGCTAAAATCATGAAAATACCGGGAGGTACCGTTATATGAGGGCTATACGAAGACGTGGACCTGCACAGACAATTTTCTGTCTTAGCCTGTATTATCCATTACGAACTTCAAATACCAAAATTGAAACATTTCCGGTGAATAAGTCATCAAAATACCGAATATCGGGAGGTACCTTTATATTGAGGATTTTACGAAGCCGTGGACCTGCATAGGCTGTTTTCTGTCACAGGCTGTAGTACCCATTAGAAACTTTAAATACGAAATTTGAAACAATTCCGGCGAGAAATGTAGCTGAAATACGAAGACGTGATCCTGCACAGAAATTTTTCTGTCTTAGGCTGTAGTAACCGTTATGAAATTCAAATACGAAATTTGAAAAAATTCCGGTGAAAAATTTTACTATAATATTCAAAATACAGAATATAGAGAGGTACCGTTAAGCGAAGCGCTTGCTTGAGGTGATCGACACTTTTGTATTTTTTAGTGCCAACCTTGCTTTCCAAAATATTCCACAATAGTCCAACGGATTGATATCCGGAGATTTTGGTGGCCATTGTCCGCTGGAAATGAAGCGAGGAACATCATTTTGTAACCATTCTTGGGTGGCGCGTGCTGAGTGCGATATTGCTGAGTCCTGTTGGGATGTTCAAGGTCTGCGGCCAAAATGTTTGCGTGCCGAAGGCTTTAATACACCCTCCAGAATATTTTCGCGATAATATTCGGCATTTTTTCTGATGCCACGGTCGATTAATACGAGCGGAGAGCGACCATCGGCTGTTATGGCGGCCCACACCATCACCATGGTCGGCCCTTGAGTTCTGGGGGCCAACCGAAGGTGCACCTCTTTGGCAAGTAAACACGATCATTTTGTTTGTTTACCAACTGCTGGACAACCAATGTTTTCTCATCGGACAAAAAAAACAAAATTCGACCGTTCACCAATTTCGACCAAGCGAAGCAACTCTTTTGCTCTTTTGAGTCTATTATACCCTCCACCGTACTATGGAGGGTATATTAAGTTTGTCATTCCGTTTGTAACTCCTCGAAATACTCATGTCAGATGTCAGAAGTCAGAACAAAGTATATATATTCTTGATCAGCATAAAATTCTAAGTCGATATAGCCATGTCCGTCTGTCTGTCTGTCTGTTGTATCACACTATCTTTCGAACGAATTGCACATATGTTTATTTTTCCAGTAGGCAGGTTAAGTTCGTTAATGGGCCATGTAGGTCCAAGTTTTCATATAGCCCCCATATAACGGTACCTCCCGATGTTCGGTATTTTGATGATTTTAGCGACATTATTAACCGGAATTGTTTCAAGTTTGGTATTCAAAGTTCGTAGTGGATACTACAGCCCATGACAGAAAATTGTCTATGCAGGTCCAGGTCTCTGTATAGGCCCCATATATTAGTACCTCCCTATATTCGGTATGTTGACGAGTTTAGGTACAATACCCACCGAAATTGATTGGGATGTCGTATTTGAAGTTCGAATTGGATGCTACAGCCAGTGACAGAAAATTGTCTATGCAGGTCCAGGTCTTCGCACAGCTCCGATATAACGGTACCTCCCTATATTTGACATTTTGATGATTTTAGCTACATTATTTACCGTTTAATATGGCAATGACTTATGACAAACAATGCCTATGTAGATCCACGTCGTATAGATCCCAATATAACGGCTATATTCGGCATTTTTAAAAATTTAACAGAATTTTTTAGGGATTTTATTTTTTGAAAATTTCCAAATTCGTTCAAAATGGTGGAGGGTATTCAAAGTTCAGCCGACCGAATTTTCTGCTTTTTAACTTGTTTTTTCTGTTGCGGTGTAAATTCTTGCACTTTTTGGAATTTCAATGGCTCTAGCCCGAGCTCATTTTTCAATATTTGCCGAATGGAATATTGCGATATATTCAGCTCACGAGCCATTTTTCCCACTGCGACGCGGATTTCGATCAAGTCGCTTCTTTACTTTTCGAAGCATTTCTGCTTATGTTCCGTCCTCTTCCTTGCCTCGGGCTATGCTACCAGTATCACGATAACGAGCGAAGGTACGAGATACAAAAGATATTCATATTTATATGCTGGAGTGCTCTAACGATAGCCACTTGTGGTTTTCCAGCAGAATATAAAGAAATCACACTATCACTCTTGAATCCCATCACGAATAACTTTTTTCTGAAAAATTCTCCCCAAAATGCTTTTGTACGCTTGTAAACAATGTAATGAGCTGTCACTGGAATAATTTTAACAGCTGTCGGATAAGTGGCTTAAAAATGACAGCAGTCTGAAGTTGGTTGCAGTTTTTTCATCTCACCCTGTATTTGAATAGTATCCACATAACTTTTTAAAGTGATATCTCATTATGGCCGCCATCATATTCATGTGAGATAGGTTATTAATTTATTAACTTCTGTATTCCGATACTCTAACTAGTTAACGGCAGAATTTGATGAGAGTGTACAAGAGGATTTTTCTGAAATAAGTCATTGGCTGTCTTGTTGGTTAAAAAAAGAAACAATTTAGAGAATTCAACCATTGGTCTCTGTCCACGCGTATATTGCTGAATTGGAGCGTGGGATTTCAGAGACCGGGTAATGGAGAGCCAAAACAAGAAGCAAATATATGTATGAATATTTGACCTCGTACACACATTGATGTAGGAGATCCCAATGTAAGAAATAAATCACATGGAGCACAAGAAAAATAAAAATAATAAAGTGATAGGATACCTAGTGTTGGAGAGTATCTTTATTATTTTGGATGCCTTAAGATTTATTACTCACTGGACAGGTGTGGTATCTTCCAAGGTTAGCAAAAGACAAGACAGATAAAAAAGGAAATTGTCTCTTCAACATGGCCGGTACACTCGCTGTCACTGATTACTTTCGTAGAAGTATCTTGCCGTTATTACACTAGAATAACATTGGCATTTTATAAAGATATTGGTTAAAAAATAAAGGGGAAATGTAGGGATGCACATTTGGCGTAAACAGTCTCTAAATATTTTATATTTAAAATTACATACCTCATATATTCTAAGAAAAAAAAAAAAAAAAAAAACGAAATATGTTATAAATATGTGTTTTATTGTTTAAAGTCAAAAAAAAAACGGTACATTAAATAAGCCGTAAGCATACAAACATACATGCACATCTATATGTCTGGAATATATGATTGATTGATTGAAAAGGTTTTACTTATAAACTATAAACAAAAAAATTGTGTAATTATTTATAAATTAAAGGGAAAGAAAATAAAGAGTTCAATACAAGTCCATAGTATTTACAATTAAGAGAAGTTGAGGCCAATTGTTATAGGAGAAGAAAAAAAAAATAATTCAATTTTAATTACTGTACAATTTTAATTACTGATTATAATTAAATTTAACAAAGGATTTAGGCTTAAGAAAACAATATTGTATTATTGTTGTGATTATTTCGTGTTTTATTTGTAACAAAATATATATTAATCAAAATTATTATGCGCTTTCTTATTTTAACAAACTTAATTAACGCCACTATAGCACCAAGCGGATAAATATCATATGTTTCCTTTTTTAGTTTTTGTCATTAATTTAAACTATGTTTATGCGTTTTAGCTTTATATTTTTCCATTTATATTTTTATATTTATAAATATGTTCATATTTTGTTTTATTTTATAATTTTTTTATTTATTGTTTTCATAAAGATTAAATAATTACTTTCAAATTTAAGGTATTGTGAACAACTTTAAAGTTTTTTGTTTTTAAATATTTATATATATACTAATTATTATGAAAATATATAACAATTAATAATAAGCACTTAATTTATATTTATAAAAAAACATACATAGATTTAAAAACAAATTTACAAATTAACATGATTTCAATTCTTGATAAGGGGGATAGAGCGTAGGCAAACCATACATGTACTGTACACACAAACATGTAATGATTTGAGTGTTGGGTGTCTGACAATGTTGCCACTTGGCAAAATTTCCCAAAAACCAAAATCGTCCGAAGCTACAATCAGATGTTCTGGTAAGAAGAAAAAGTGCTGGCTAATATTAAGCTTACTGCTTATCAGTAATAAGAAAGAGAATTTCCAGGCTTTTTGTTTTCAAAAGTTTTGAGGTTAAGAACTAGACTCCGCTATTAGCCGGGAACATTTTATTGAGCGCCTCCTACAGAAAGTTGTAACTAGTTTCCACTCGTACGCAAATATGTCGAATGAAAAAACATGTTTAGGTTTTTGGAGCAAATGCTTTTTCAATTTCAAAATTTTTATAAAAACCCACATTAAAAAAGTCTTTCTGGGGACGACTATATGACACCGCCACTATGCGTATTTTGTAGAGTTCCCGTAACAAAGAAGTGTATATTGGGTATTTATGAATTACCGAATTTCAAAAAATTGTACGATTCGGTTAAGTATGAAAAAATCTATCCAGTTTGGGTTGATATTGCATGTATGGTGGACAATAACCGCAAAATCGGTAGAACATATATATCGAAGGTACATAAAAATCTGAACAGATCTCGATTCTCACCAATTTCAATAGGGTTCGTCCTTCGGTAAAAAAAATTTCATCTAAATCGAATAATAAATGCGACCTGTATTTTGTTCACCAAAAATACATAGACAGACGGCCGGCCGGACTGACATGCATAAATCGACTCAGAAAGTGATTCTATGAAGATCCTAAAAAGTAAGTATGGGTCTATCTCGCTTTCTTTTTCTTGTAACATGCGCAAATACATAATAACCTTATCACTATGTGGTGTATGGTATAATGAATATGTTTGAATACGAACGATTCGAGTAAAGTATTTTTTTAGGAAAAGAGGCTGTTAATGGACTTTAAAAAAACCGCCCAAAATAGAGAGCCAAATGGCAACCCTGCCTCACAAATTAATTCCAGATTTCTAAATTGTCCTAACGTTGAATTTATGAATTTAATTTGTAATGAAAGGAATTATTTCTCCCTATTTGGGCGCCATTGTTTATATATCTCTACCCCCAAACACATATGTACGTTACTATGTCTGTACTAATTGAAAAAGGATTTGAATTGAAATACATGCACACATACATACATACATTATATTGAACAGACAGATTGGAATATTAGTTACGTTTCGATGAATTAATTAAATATTTACAACAATGCGTCAGCAAATGTTTTTCCGTCGACGATGACGAATTGTTGTGATGACTGCTGTGATGGGGTGGAGCACCCAACTCACGGGTATAGATATCCAAACCGTATTGTCCTTCCTCGGGGAAGCTGAAATGAAATGGAAGAAATTAAGACAATTTAAAATCAAATGATTTTTTCTGCCAGGTTTGTCTATTATTTGCCCTCTCATTCAGACTTACTTTATAATAAACGTCACAATATCATCCAATATACTGTGCGTAACATATTTGGAGAGTTTCTTTTCTTCGATGCCGTTTTTGTGCAGCGTAGCCATAAAATCTGTCAGCGGCCGAGACATACGGAATTGCAAATCTAAACTGCGGCCGGCAAATATAAGAGGATCCTGCAAAATTTTTTTTTTGATTGGAAATAAAAAAATGGTATCTGAATATGTTAAATAGTTTGGTTATACCTGATGCGTAATGGGTATCAGGCCAAAGAGTCGTGTAGCTTTTGTTGGACCCCATTCACCGCTGGCACAATCCGGCAATGGGACCATAACTGTTTGTAATTCTTCACAGCAAATCTGAAAATACAAAGTTGTATTTACCAATTAAAAATATACATAGGTTTTTTCTCTAAAGAAAAAGTAATTGCTTTCGAATTGAGCGTATTTTTCTATAGAAAAATATCTCTCAAGATTAACCCAATTCGCTGCAATGTTTAGGAAATGGTAGACAAAAGCTGGTAGCTATGAAAACACAGTATACTTAAACCAAAAGAATTAGAGCATACTTTCAGGCGTCATTGATTAAAAATCATTTAAACCCTTTGAAATCAGGAGTATGGTGATAATTTGATTTGACTTACCTTAAATTTGCACACCGATTTGAATTTCATTGGTTCACCGGTTAAATATTCCTGCGGCGTTACTGCATTGGCAAATATATCCAACAGAAATGCCCCCGAACAGGGAGCATGCACCCGGAATGCCACAATATTACCAATCACCGATTGCATAACGAAACGTTTCAACGATACACCATCGTACGAATCCTCATCACTGTCGTAGAATTTCAAATTATAATGGAATATCAGGCAACTTTGCATGTCCGTGGGCATGGCAATGCGAACAGTGGCGGCACCTGGAAATATATTGCAAGAGATACATTTCTATATTAAAAGGATTTTGTGACAGAAAAAAATCTGTCCTCAAAACAGTGATATTTTCCTATCTTACTAAGAATCATTTTCTATAGCAACAATTTTCCATTGAACTATAATAAAAATGTTTCTATAGAAAAAAATCGGTACTGAGGGATTGAGGTTTGTTAAGGGAAAATTAGTCTTCAGTGACGGAGGCTGACAATTTTTCCTACAGAAAAAAATACCTCCGAAATGAGAAAAAAATTTTTCTCTAAAAAAATCCCCTGATTCGAGGACAGATCTTTTTCTCTAAAAAATCCTCCGACCAGAGGACAGATTTTTTTCTATAGAAAAAAAAATCCTCAGACCTAAGGACAAATTTTTCTTTATAAAAAAAATCCTCAGACATGAGGACAGATTTTTTTTTCTATAGAAAAAAATTCCTCAGAGCTGAGGACAGATTTTTTTTCTATAGAAAAAAATTCCTCAGAGCTGAGGACAGATTTTTTTTTCTATAGAAAAAAATTCCTCAGAGCTGAGGACAGATTTTTTCTATAGAAAAAAATTCCTCAGAGCTGAGGACAGATGTTTTTCTATAGAAAAAATTCCTCAGACCTGAGGACAGATTTTTTTCTATAGGAAAAAATCCTCAGACCTGAGGACAGATTTTTTTCTATAGAAAAAATTCCTCAGACCTGAGAACAGATTTTTTTCTATAGAAAAAAATCCTCAGACCTGAGGACAGATTTTTTTCTACAGAACAAATTCCTCAGACCTAAGGACAGATTTTTTTCTATAGAAAAAAATCCTCAAACCTGAGGACATATTTTTTCTATAGAAAAAAATTCCTCAGACCTGAGGACATATTTTATTCTATGTAAAAAAATTCCTCAGACCTGCGGACAAATATAAAAAAAAATTCCCCAGACCTGAGGACAGAAATTTATTTATAGAAAAAGATTTCTCAGACCTGAGGAGAGATTTTTTCTTTGGAAAAAATTCCTCATACTTGAGGACGGATTTTTTTCTATAGAAAAATATTCCTCAGACATGAGAACAGATTTTTATTCTATAGGAAAAAATCCTCCATCCTGAGGAGAGATTTTTTCTAAAGAAAACAAATCTTCCGACCTCAGAACATATTTTTTTCTATAGAAAACAAAACCTCAGACCTGAGGACAGATTTTTTTGCCATAGAAAAAAGTCCTTAGGCCTCTATAGAAAAAAATCCTCAAGTGTTATTTTCAATAATGAACAAACTTTTTCTATAGAAAGAGTTTTTCTATAGAAAACATTTTGTTCTGTAGAAAAAAATATATCCTACGAACTCTCTTTTTTTCTCTCACCAGTATCGTCCGTAAAGACCACTGCTCCATAACCCTCATCGGCAAAATGCAAGCCATAGCGGAAGAACAATGAACGCACAAATGGTAGATTCTCAAATTCTCGCAGAGTAATGGGACGCTTGAGCAGCTGCCATTCTTCTTGCAGGGGGAAGAATTCATAAATGAATTCTCTGGGATCGGTCAGGAAGTAATGGTCATCATATTCATATCTAGAAAATAAAAATACAATCATTGAAATAAATCTCAAAAAAAATCCTCCCACCCTCTCACCTCAAACTATCGTTTTTACCCCTTCCCGTCTTGGGTACCTCCTTGGCATTGACCAAATGTCTAGCACCCCAATTACATTGTACAAAACGCCATGCGCCAGCAACGAAGACAGCATTCCACGAATTGCGGAAACGAGAATCTTGAAACTTCACCCCTGGCTGATAGCCGGCACTTTTCGAGTAACCCTTGATGACTACGCAATGGAGACCGGCATAACTGCAGAGACGCTTGAAGAGCACATGATAACTCTCAGTGCCAAATTTGATACCCCGCAGCAGCCCCATGGGTGAGTCTCCGCGCAGGTCATCATCAAAGTGCATATTATTCAGATTCTTGACGGTAATCCAACGGAATATTGTTCGGGCCTTTTCGATATCGGTTGTGCAACGACCCACCAACTGCCTCACTAGATCGGTAAAGGTTTTCTGATCCTCCTGGGCCACCGATATGGCTATGCGATCCACGTCTTCAAACTCAATGGGGTCGGTGTAGATTTGGAATTTACTAACTGTGGGCGGTGCAGGCAATGGTGGCAAATTGGGATATTCTATGGGTGTGGTGCCCTCACTGAACTCATCGTCCAGGAAAATGCTCTCGTTCATCATGTACTCGGAACGACGGGCACTGATCAACTCCAACATTTCACTGGACTGACGATCGACTAGAGCTGCCGTCTCATAACGTTCGTGTTCGAGCATTTTACGTGTTATGCTCTCCTTCTTTTTGCTGCGTCTCAGGGTCATGTTCTTTTCCAAGTCCTCCTTTTGTTGTTCGAGGCGTTTGGTGAGAATGTTTTGCTCCTCACGATTGCGCCGCGATGTGGTCAATTCTTTTTCAAATTTGTGCGTTAGTCGCTGCAGTTCACGTTCCCATTCGGTTTGGAATTCGGATTGAATTTTACGATCTTCCTCTTCACGTTTACGTGCAAATTTGCGATACAGGTCGTCTTCTTCCTGGCGGTGCTTCATTTCGAGGCGAGCTTGTTCTTCGCGACCCTGAAAGGGAAAGTAGAGGGGGAATTAGTGAATGCTTTCATGGAAGTCTTATGAGAATCAAATGGATTTGTTTGAAATGTCATAAGAAGTAAGAATTAATACCTTAGATCCTGAGAACATACGTTTCCTGAATGATTTTATGCAGGAGAATATTTATAAGGCACTGAGGTGGGATTTTTTTCTATAGAATAAACGTACCTCAGTCACTGAGGTCGATTTTTTTTCTACAGAATAAACGTACCTCAGTTACTGAAGTCGGATTTTTATACCCATAGTATGGAGGGTATATTAAGTTTGTCATTCCGTTTGCAACACATCGAAATATACCTTTTAGTCCTCACAAAGTATATATATTCCTGATCAGCATAAAATTCTATGTCGATTTATCAATGTCCGTCCGTCTGTCCGTCTGTAGAACTCACTCTAGCTTCCGAACGAAATGAAGTAGGTTGATCAAATCAAATAACGGTACCCCCCGATATTCGATACTTTGATGATTTACCGAATTTTGTATTTAAAGTTAGGAATGGATACTACAGTCTATGACAGAAAATTGTCTGGGCAGGTCCATTTATATCCGCCATGGTACCCTATATTCGGTATTTTGATGATTTTAGCTACATTATAAACGGAATTTTTTTCAAGTTTCGCATTTGAATATTGTATTAGCTTGTGACAAAAGTTGCCTATGCATGTCCAAGTCTTCGTATAGACCCTAATATACGGCCACATTCGGTATTTTTAAGATTTTAACAGAATTTTTAACGGATTTTATTTTTTTGAAAATTGCCAAATTCGTTCCAAATGGTTTTTTCTATAGAAAAAACATACCTCAGTCACTGAGATCGGATTTTTTGGAGATTGGATTTGTTCTGTAGACAAAATATACTCTATATACTCTGTTTCATAGAATGTATTTGTGCATTTGTTTGTAACATGAAGAAGGAAGCGATATAGGCTCATAGTTACTTTTGAGAATCTTCAAAGAATCACTTGCTGATTCGATTTATGCATGTCAGTCCGTCTGTTCATGTATTCTTGTGAATAAAAAGCTGGTCGTATCCGATTGAGATGAAATTTTCTAAACATTATTTGTTTGGCCCAAGGACGAACCCTATTGAAATTGGTGAGAATTGGTTCAAATTTAGATATAGTTCCCATATATATATCTTCAACCGATTTCGGGTTAATTGTGCACCAAATGGTCAATATCAGTGCAAATGACCTGAAAAGGAAATACATCAAATTTGGAGAAAATCGGTTCAGATATACAGGGTTGTCCATATTCGACGGACCTTTGGGCCCATTCCAATCGACGAGGCTTGTCCGCAGGCAACATTCTTTGCGTCAATTGAATTTTGTACGGGAACAAATGCAAATCAATGCGAGCCATGCCCAACTGCTGAGAACGGCGTTTTTGGGATGTTCTTGGGGACCTCTCAACACTGGCTCGTACGGCAGCGATATTCTCGGCCGATCGCCTTGGTCGACTTTTATATGGCCTCTTCGGATTAGAAAGAGCCTTACCAGTCGAAAATTTTTCGTATAAACGCTTAATAGTGTTCTTAGAAGGCGCACTTCTCACATTTTTTAATGTTTTAAAAGCACGTTGAGTTTTCACAATTGACTTCTTCTGTTGAATGTAAATTTCAACTATTTCAGAGCGCTCGCGTGGCGTGTATTGGTTCATGGTAAAAATCTGCTTGGACTAACGCTTCAAACGCGGTATGTCATTAAGCGATGTGACATCTCTGTCAAAAGTTATGGCGTTGCCAGATGGGTCCGTCGAATTTGGGCAACCCTGTAGCTATAGATCCCATATACATGTTTCATCGGATTTGGGGTTTTACACAACAATGATATATGGTACCAGATATCGGATACAGTTCAGAAATAAGTTTTTAAAATTTTGTCATGATCGATTCAGATTTGGATATAGCTCCCATATATATCTTTATTCGATTTCAGATTTTTAGTGCACAAAACGACCAATATCAGCCAATTGGAATTATGGCACTTCCGACCGAATTCATCCTAAAAACAAGTACTTTTGGTGAAAATCAGTTAAGCTGCAATATATATGTTTCATCCGATTTGGTTTAAGAGTCTCTCACATGCGTAATATGCACTCTACAACAATGATATTTGATGACGGGCATTAGATGCTACTCGAAAATACCTCTGCCAAAATTCATCGAGATCGGGTTAGATTTTTATATAGCTTCAATATACATCTTCATCCGATTTTACGTTTATTGTCCACCATACATGTATCCAAATTGGATAGATTTTTTCATAATCTACCGAATTTTTCCTATTGGTGAAACTCGGTCCGGTATATCTTTTGCTCCAATAATTATTTTTTAATATAATTTTTATCGAAGCCATATCATGCAACATTATTTGGTACTAGAGGTACAAAAGTCTCCTTCAAAATTGTTGAAAGTCGATTCAGAGTTGGATATAGTTCCAAAATTGTGACTACTCTATAGCCATGATACGCATTCAAATAAGGTTCATAGTTTATATGATCTATTTCACATAAATTCAAAAATGTAAACTTTTTCTGATATAGGAGCTCTGCTAAATACGCATAGTAATGTAGGGTATCAGATAGTCGGCGTCGCCAAACTTTTGACTTTTTCTTACTGGTTTTATATTAGTTTTCAAAGAACATTATTGTTAATTTATGCCAACTGAATTACATTACATACATTCAATTCAATTCTATTGCACTTTATACGCCCAGCTCACTCAATCTCTCCCTAATTGATGAGGTGTGCATTTGATGGAGTTTGTGTTGAAGTTTGGTTTTCGAAATAAATCAGTCAAGTGCAGTCCAGTGAAACAGCAATGATTATTGTAATTAAACTGGCCATCAACAAAGCATAACGTAAATAATAATAATAACAATCAACCACAATAACAACAGCAACAGCAACGGCAACAACATCAAAGTCTAAAACTGCAACATTCAACGGCAATAACAACAAATGAAGTGCAGTAGAGATAGGCTGAGATAGGCTTCGGTCGGTCATTCACTGAAAAAACAAAAACCAGTAAAGAAAGTCCTAAAGTCGGGCGGGGCCGATTTTATGATAACCTACACCACTTTTCTAATTTAGTTGAGCTCCACTTAATAATTAAAAGTTTTTATGGGAGAATTCAATCATACACGCTATGATTATAATTATAATTTAAAACTCAAAGGACTAAATATGCCAAAGCATTTGTATCTTTTAAATTCGGACTTGTATTGCCCATTTGGTGCAAAATTAATTTGAAATCAGATAAAGATTTATATGGGAACTATATCCAAATCTGAACCGATCTCGATAAAATTTAGCAAAGATATTTCTGAGGTGTATTTGATATATTTCCCTGAATATCGTTGTTAGGGAGTGCATATTACGGCTGTAGGTAACAAATACAACAAATCGGATGAACAATATATATGGGAGCTATAGCTATATCTGAACCGATCTTCACCAAATTTGGCATACTACCTTCTAGACTAAATTCGGTCGCATGTGCCAAATTCCATCCCATCTGGGCAAATATTAGACGTTTGGTGCACAATAAAAGGTAAATCGGACGAAGTTATATATGGGAGCTATATCCAAATCTGAACCGATCTCGATAAAATTTAGCAAAGGTATTTCTGAGCTGTATTTGATATATTTCCCCAAATATTGTTGTTACAGAGTGCATATTACGGCTGCGGAGCACAAAAATAACAAATCGGATGAACAATATATATGGGAGCTATAGCTATATCTGAACCGATTTCGATCAAATTTGGCATACTTATTTTCAGGCCTAATTTGGTTGTATGTGCAAAATTCCATACTATTCGGGCTGATATTACACGTTTGGTGTACAATAAAAGGCAAATCGGACGAAGATATATATGGGAGCTATATCTAAATTTTTACCGATTATCTCCAATTTCAATAGGGTTCGCCCTTGGGCCAGACAAATGTTGTTTGCAAAGTTTCATCTCAATCGGATAATAAATGCGACCTGCATTTTGTTCACAAGAATACATGGACAGACGGACGGACGGACGGATAGACGGACTGACATGCATAAATCAACTCAGAAAGTGATTCTATGCAGATCATCAAAAGGAACTATGGGTCTATCTCGTTTCCTTTTGCCTGTTACAACGAATGCACAAAGACATAATACCCTGACCACCTTGTGGTGTAGGGTATAAACACACACATATAATACAACATCAGATTTGAATTGGTAAAATGTACTTTGGATATTGGATTGCTATTATATTCAACATTGTTCGCAGAGTAGGTGCATTGGAGTTTGAGTTGTTTTTTTTTTCTAAATATTTAAAGTTCGATTTATAGTCAATGAAGTGGAACGCGTCGGAACATGTGTGTGCACTTGGGGGGTCGTCATCAATCACTTTCGATTTTAAGACTGACAATCGTAGAGTTATTAATCATTCTTGACGGGAGAAATTATGTGCATAAGTTCTTCGACATTTCGAGGGATTCCAAAAGACGAACTACGACACTTTTCAAGTAAAATGTGCAATTGTTCATAAAAATTCAACTCCCAAAATTTACCCTAACAAGGGTAGAGGTAAACAATTCAGAAACGATTGTCACCAAACTCCAAACAAGTACCTGCTACTTCGTCCGCTTTTAAGCTTTTATACCCTCCACCATTCTATGGAGGGTATATTAACTTTGTCATTCCTTTTGTAACTCCTCGAAATATTTATAATACACCCTACCTACAAAGCATATATATTCTGGATCAGCGTAAAATTCTAAGACGATCTAACGATGTCCGTCTTTCTGTCTGTCTATTGTAATCACGCTATCTTTCGTACGAATTGAGATAAAAGGCTAAAATTTTGCATACATGCATAGTTTATCAGTAGATAGTTCACGGTCCACGTTTTCGTATAGTCCCCATATCACGGTACATCCCGATATTCGGTATTTTCATGATTTTAGCGACATTATTTACCA